TAATGGTAATGATAATAATAGTAATAATATAATATAATAATAATAATAATAATAATAATAATAATAATAATAATAATAATAATAATAATATAATATTGAACATAATATCAACACTAATAACAACAATAACAACAGCAATAACTATAATAATAATGACAGTAAAACAATAAAACCCAGGCAAATCTCGTCCACATCTCAGTCATTGTTCTCGACGTCGATCTCTAAAGCAGCGCACTTAAAGCCTCGTTTCAGCTGGACAAGTTTCGGGTTTCTCGCCCTGGTACGACCGACAGACAAGTTCAACGAGGTCCTCTTGTGCGTCGTGCTGGTTCTCTTGTGTGAACACCTGTGGGATAATGAACAGGTACGTATAAAAATAGTGAACACGTGTACTTGAGCTACACTGTGCATGGTAATACATATAAAAATAGGAGGAATTCACATATATTCATATGAAAATAAGCGATTCTGAACATGAAGATATTTTAGGATAAGAAAATAGGGCAAACACACACCTTTACACATACATGAGCGCGGTTTCAGTTATTGATAATAATAATAATAAAAAAACAGTAGAGAGAACAGCAAAAAGTAATACAATAAGAAAAAGAAGCGTGCATACTAGCAGGTACATGCAAAGGCAAGTGAATTCTAATTTCTTTGGTTGTAGGCTAATGACCTGTTGGCAGTTGCTGTTCTGTGCTATTTTCGTATTTTTTAAATTTAACTATTTACATAGTTTACTATCATATATATACATATATATTAATATTTATATTATATATATATATAATATATATATATATATATATATATATACATATACACATATATGTATGTATACGAGCACACACACACAGACATACACGCACACACACACACGCACGCACGTACACACACACACACTCACACGTGTGTGTGTGTGATATAAAAAATAAATAAATATATATATATATATATATAATATATATATATATATATATAAATATATATATATACATATATGTATGTGTGTGTGTGTGTGTGTGTGTGTATAAATTGTTACGATGATGTATATATCCAGCCGTTATTTAACTTATTGTTTATTCCGACCACCGCCGATGCTTTCGCAACCAACAGCCCGCACAGTTGGTGCGCGGTTCGTAATGAACAGTTTCAATAGAAAGTAATAATGACTTATCTACGTTTTACCTCTCAATTTCCAGTCTTTGTACATGCTGAGGAATGCCGACACACGCACACACACACACACACAAACACACAATATACCCACATCATTGAGGATAATCCAAGGCATCCAGTCAGGCCGCGGGTCGAGAAGTCCTTGCTCTAGACCCGCCTCGTGAAGCAACTGCTCGCCCTCCAACGACTGGGAACAGTTCTCGATGGGCTGCCACTCCACTCCCACTCTCTCGGCACACTAAGGAAGAGGAAGACGGCAAGTCGACATGTGGAGACAGTATCGTTTAGTATGAAATAGCATATAATAAGATGGTTGATATACCAATCTACAATACAGCACAATCAAGATGTTCCCTATATCGAGCTACACAAGGTTTAGGCATTAAGATGTAGACATGTGCAAGAAGTTCCGTGTAGCAAGCAGCATCACGTGTAAGACAGCATACACGCATTAAGGTATTCACAATCGATCTTCACTGTAATGGCAAGCCGTCGGACCTGATACGGTCTTTATATGTGTTTACTTCCAAAAACAATAATTAAGGTATCCCCTTTCTCGACTTACATGCTAGCACTTAGGCACAGAGATGTTCCATATGTCAATCTAACCAACAAGAAACGGTGACAATATCCTCATAACAATCTCTGTGACAGCTTGTGGCCTTTACGATAATTATTTTACCTACCCCCTTGACATTATAAAGGCATTTATTTGTACATACGGCAAATAAGTATTGATTTTCATTAAAGCTTTTGTAACATCTCTACACACAACCTTTTACATCACAAAATCGCAGCTAATATAAATGAAAGCTTAGAATATCTTTGAAGTACCATTATATCTACGACGTATAAAGTTATCACCTTCACTGCTCAACACGAATCTTATGTACATTATGCTATGACTTTACGCTTTTATGCTAAATAACTATTTCATGTTGTCATTTACTTTTGCAACGGATCGGTTTGAATATGACCACGCCCAAAGCAAAGGCCCGCCCCCTCGATTCCTGTCGTAAAAAAGTGTCCTTACGGTGGAAATGATGCCTAATGTTTATACTAGGTAACGGACCCCATGTATTTTTTTTCTACTGTGTACCTAATATCAATCCTTTCGAAACATTTAAATTCAAATATTCCTTACGTAAGTCTGTCCAACTAATACCCAACCACTCTATTATGACTAACCTGTTTCCCGAATTTTAAACCCATTCATTGAAACATAGGCCTACCTTCTCGCCCTCGATAGGTGGTAGAAGCCACTCATGAGCAGAGAGTGAAGTCGACGTAGGTCTCATGTCAAGTACTTCTTGGCACA